ATGGTCCCTCCCTACCACAGCCCCCCCCTCCCTAACATCCTGTGGTGTAAAACAGCTCTTGCCAAGTAGGAATCCAACATAAACCCAACTGTAATTTCTCTTGAGACATTGGATACAAAATTAAATTAATCCTTATTAGCAAAGTCCAAAAGTAGTACCTCAGAAAATCTGGGCTACAAGGATAAAAGAGCAAAATGGAATATGCAAATGTGAGAAGCCCAATGGGTTAAATTATTGCAAATCTAAATATAGGATTCCTATAAGAATAAAAAGGCCATGGAAAAGTACTCCTCAGACCCTGAACCCCTCGATAGCAGTTATATATTGTGGTACATGTATGTACAATAAATCAGCCTAAAACTTAATAGCTTAAAAGAACATAATTCTTTACCTCATGAAACTCTAGATCATTACTGTGGGCTAAATGCAGAGCAGACAAGTGGTTCTATTCCTGATCTCATCTGAGCAATTATCAGTTAGCTGTTCAGCAGGGACTAGATCAAGCGTCCTCAAACTACAGCCCACGGGCCACATGTAGCCCGCCTAGGATATTTATCCAGCCTGCCAGGTGTTTTTGCCACCGCTGCCTGTCCTGCTTAGCAGCCGACTCATCCCAGGACCTGCAGTGCAGCCCTCCAACAGTCTGAGGGACAGTGAACTGGCCCCCTGTTTAAAAAGTCTGAGGACCCCTGGACTAGATGATACAAAATGGCCTTTCTTGAATGACTGGCTATTGGCTCTCTTCAGGGTGGTCTCTCATCAGCAAAAAGGGGCTAGCCTTGGTTCTTCCTATAGCAGCAGTAGCATTCCAAGACAGTATGCCAAGGGAGCAAGATCGCAGCCTACAAGGCCTGAAACACCCAGAGTGTCTCTCTTGCTATGTTCTATTGGACAGAGCTGGTCACAAGGTCAGTGCATATTCAAGATGTAAAATAGACTTCACCCTGTGATGGGAACAGAGATAAAATTACATGGCTAAGGGGATCCAGGGGATAGGACGATTCTGTGGTCACTCACTGCAATCTACCCAAGCAGCAAAACACATCTTAATAAGCTCTATTCTCCCCACTACCTAGGATAAAGTTTGGCATACAAAGAAGGTAATTCAAATTTGTTGTGAAATGAATACACAAGCCTTTAGAAATATAATAAATGCATTGCCTCCTAAATTAAAGAGGAATTTCAAAATTAAAACTGCCAGTGATGCAATTCTACTCTTATGTCCCTGTTTTTCCTCTTTTCTCAGCTTACACTGAAATGAAAACTTGTTTTCATAAAACTAAGCTTGAATAAGGCTAATTTTGATATCTCTCTGAAAAGTTGTGCTATTCTCTATACCAACTTCTATTATCATCAAAATAACACTGGTCGGGGCAGCACCTGTGACTCAGTGGGTAGGGTGCCGGCCCCATATACTGAGGGTGACAGGTTCGAACCTGGCCCCGGCCAAACTGCAACAAAAAAAATAGCTGGGCATTGTGGCAGGCACCTATAGTCCCAGCTACTCGGGAAGCTGAGGCAAGAGAAATACTTAAGCCCAGGAGTTGGAGGTTGCTGTGAGCTATGACGCCACAGTACTCTACCAAGAGCAATGGAGTGAGACTGTCTCTAAAAACAAAACAAACAAACAAAAAAAAAAACCACTGGTCTTGCTAGCTATAATTATACAAATAAACTGCTTATAAATATAGCCCTGATGTTCTATTCTACAACATCTGAAAGTACACACAACCACAATCCACTACCATGGGAAAGCAGGTTTATTTATAGCTCATCACAGACAGAGGGTCCCTTCCACACAAAGTCCATCTAGAAAGGGCACCCAGAAATTCCCGCCTCATAAGACCTCCTTTCTTCCTTTTCCATCTGTGTGCCCTTCTTTTGTCATGAATGGTAGCACATGTTTGCAGCTCAGTAGTTTTATCAGCTTGTCTCCCACATGTAGAATTTGGGAGGGAGAGAGAGCAGATTATCGAAAAGTCTTTCTTCATTTTATATCTGTCCATTTCAGGCTGGTTCACTGGCTGGCACCTGCAAAGGGCACACACCCACTGTTTGGACTGCCTTGCATGCATTTCCCTTTCTTTCAGAACCCCATCTTGCTTTGGTTATAGTCCAGTCCATCAAGAAGTCAAAGTGTCTTCCCCTCCTGACCCAAGTGAGGCCAATGAGATCACCTCCCAAACAGACGGGCACAACCCCTGAAAGGGGCTCAGGTTCCTTCTTTCACCCTTCAGTAGAGCCCTGGAGAAGCTGTTGGTTCCTAATCAGTGGTTGTTGACCAGAGGTAAATACCCAAAGATGTTCTGGTTCCTGTAGGCCTAGCTCCCTCCTGTCCTGCTCTGAGCCTGGTTCTTCCACTTTACCCTGGACTTTCTATGCTACCCCATATCTTTCCTGTAAGCTGCCCTTGCATCCAAAGAACCATGACCAATACATAAACCTAGAGCGGAGCCCTTGTTACTTCATGCTTGCCTCCTTCTCACCACCCATCCTACATGAAGGCTGCCTCACCCTCATCCTCCAGTTCCAGGCTGACTATGACAGCTTCCATGAAAAGGAGCCACAGATCTACACAAGAGTGGAAATGATGGCACAAAAGCTGGGCCTGGGTGACCACACCAGGCATCTCTCACCTCAAAGGAAACAGCTAATTAAATAACAATAAGACAACTTAAACATAATTTTAATTAGAATACCTAAAGGAATTGAGACAACAATGCCTAGAAAACCTACAACAGGGCTCCGGTGCCTGTGGCTCAAGGGGCTAAGGCGCCAGCCACATACACCTAAGGTGGCGGGTTCAAATCCCCAGCCTGGCCCGCCAAACAACAATGATGGCTGCAACCAAAAAAAAAATGGCCAGGCATTGTGGCGGGTGCCTGTAGTCCCAGCTACTTGGGAGGCTGAGGCAGGAGACTCGCTTGAGCCCAGGAGTTGGAGGTTGCTGTGAGCTGTGATGCCATGGCACTCTACCCAGGGGGACAGCTTGAGGCTCTGTTTCAAAAAAAAAAAAAAAAAAACCTTCCACCGGGTTTTTTTTAAAAAAAAAAAAAAAAAAAGAGGAACAACCAAAAATGCAACTAAAATACTTTTAAATTATTAGAAAGACTACAAGAAAAAGTCAAGGAAATCTCCTAGAATATACAGCAAAAGCCAAGGAAATGGAGAGTATAAGCAAATGCTGAGTCATACAGAGGACCTACCCAGGAATTCACCCCATATGAATTTCAGAAAGAGAAAATAGTGAAAATACAGGGGAGAAAAACAGGAAATAAATAACAGGAGACAATTTCCCAGAACTGAAGAAAAATCTATGGCGTTATGGATTACAAGGGCTCAGTGAGTACAGAGCAGAGAAATAAAAAGAAGCCACACAAAGGTACATGACTGTGAAATTTCTGAATACCAAGGACAAAGGGAAAATCTACCGTGCTGAGAATAAAAAAAGAAAATGAAGGTTAACTATAAAGAAGTAAGAATGAGACTGGTGTCACATGCATGAGCAACAACGGATATTAGAAAATAGTTCTCAGAGTTCTAAAAGACAAATTATTTTGAGCGTAATATGCTGTAGATAGCTAAACTCTCAATGAAGTGTGAGGTAAAAATGACATTGTCTCACATAAAAGAACTCTAAAAAATTACCTCCCACACGGTCTCTTTGGAAAACAAATTCCTTTAAAAGCAACCAGCAGCTGGGTGCAGAGGCTCACACCTGTTATCCTAGCACTCTGGGAGGCCAAGGTGGTGGATTCCTTGAGGTCAGGAGTTTGAGACCAGCCTGAGCAAGAGCGAGACCTCATCTCTAAAAATAGCTGGGCATTTTGGCCAGCACCTATAGTCCCAGCTACTTGGGAGGCTGAGACAAGAGAATCACTTGAGCTCAAAAGTTTGAGGTTGGTGTGAGCTGGGACACAATGGCACTCTACCAAGGGCTACAAATTAAGACTCTATCTCACAAAACAAAAAACAAAAAAAACCCCAGCAAATCAAAAGACAATAGGAATCCAAGGGGGTAAAAAGCCCCCCCAAAACATGGAATGCAATTAACAGAGGACCCAACCCAGTAGCTCAAATAAAAGATAAATTTTTTAAAGCCTAAGATAACACTTGTGCAGAAGCTTAGGAAGTAACCAGTCCAAATTAAAACAATAAATTAGAGACTCAGGGAGCTGGGAGAATAAGTCTTCAAGAAATGAAATCACATTAACAGTCAAATTAAGCAGATGGATGATCTTGGTAATAATATAAAGTTATGTGCTTCTTTTGTCCACAGGAAAAAAGGACAAATAGAAACCCTAGGAAGGAGAAGAATAAGAAAAACCACAATCCAAATACAGAATGAAACTAAAATACAGTATGATTTTGAGCCATTTCCCTCCAACTGCACATTGACACTATACATGAAATAATATCTACATAATTCATAATATTGTAAGCACTTTTATTAATATTCCATTCTTATTAAAGTAGAACAAAGATGAAAGAAAGCCACAAACCAAGGTTAAGCATCCACTTAACCTCCACTCAGCAGGAGGACTAGGACTTTGCTACTCACCCCAAAATCCCCTCTGTTTCACTCCCCTAGTCTCAACTCTCCTAGCTTTTATACTAATCATCTCTTTGGCTACATTACCACTTTATCACCCAAGTGTGCATCCCTAGCCAGTACAGTTCAATCCTGAAGTTTTTAAAAAAATATTTATGTGTCGGCTTGGCGCCTATGGCTCAAGTGGCTAAGGCGCCAGCCACATACACCTAAGGTGGTGGGTTCGAATCCAGCCCAGCCCACCAAACAACAATGACGGCTGCAACTAAAAAATGGCCAGGCGTTGTGGTGGGTGCCTGTGGTCCCAGCTACTTGGGAGGCTGAGGCAGGAGACTCGCTTGAGCCCAGGAGTTGGAGGTTGCTGTGAGCTGTGATGCAACAGCACTCTACCCAGGGGGACAGCTTGAGGCTCTGTCTCAAAAAAAAAAAAAAAAAAATATATATATATATATATACACATATATATATATATTTACGTGTCATTCTTGTGCAGGGCCATGCTAATCTTCTCTGTATCATTCCAATTTTAGCATATGTGCTGCCGAAACAAGCCCTTAATCTTGATTTTTTAATTTGATGTCTTTTAAGCCTTCTTTATATTTACAAGTCCCCGCCGCCCCCGCCCCCATATCTTGCTTGTCCTTGGCTTTATCTGCTGCAGAACAAAGTCTGGACTTTGCTGCGCATGCCCAGGGCTCAACTCAGCAGTTCATCTCCTCCATCTTGTAAATGGACATCTGAGTCCAGAGCCACGATCAACTCCGGCTCTATCTTTGTCACAAGACAGTAAGACAATAGGTTCCTTTCTTCCTCATCTTTTCCTTTCTTTCTTTTTTTTGTTTTGTTTTGTTTTTGTGGTGGTGGTGGTATTAGCTTTAAGATAAAATTCACATCCCATACAATTCATTCATTTAATATGTACAACTCAATGGGTTTTAGAGATAATGAAAATGTAAAATTGACTGTAGTAATAAGTCAATTTTACAACATTTTCATTATCACAAAAGGAAACCCCATTTACCCTCTGGATATCATCATCCACACCCCCAGCCTTAGGCAACCACGAATCTACCTCCTGTCTCTATTGAATTGCCTGTTCTGGACATTTCATATAAACAGAATTATACAATATGTATTTAAGATATATGGGGTGGGGAAAAACAGCCAAATAGAAACTTCTATTGATAGTCCCTCTGCACGGACGCCTATTAGAACAACTTTCCATACAAAAAAGCAACTTCAGAAGAACCAAAAATCAGAGGAGTGATCATACTACCTGGTTTTGACATTATGGCACTGCAGAGAGCAGAAAAGCCAGTCTTGCCTTGCCTACACCACCCAGCCTCCACCTCCAGTAGTGGGAGTGGAAAGAGGATCTGTGTGCCCAGAGGAGGAGAGTGAAGTGATTGTGGGACTTTATATTTAAACTCCAGACTGCCTTGTCACAGGGGAACACAGCAGGGACAGAATTCTGCTGGTACCCAGAGGGAGCATTTAGATCAAGCTGGCCAGAGGAAAATCCTCCACCGTGAAACCTGAGTTCCTGCCAACCCCACCAGCAACAGAGAGAGCTGGGACCTGGACTAAATTTGTAAGGCAGTCGGGCAATAAAGACTGCAGTCCTAGGCAATTCCTCTGGCTGTGCTGGCTCAGACCCAGTGGACTTGGGGTGCCTATGACCTAGTGAGACACCAGCAGCAGCAGACAAACGAGTGTCTGTGTCCTGTTTGCAGTGTGTGCCTTCTTCATTAATGGTTGGAGGGCCAGAGCTGAGGGTGAGCAAGGGGACCCAGCATATTTATTCAAAGGGAAAGATGGGTAGGGGCACAAAGAGGCCTGGCCACCACTAGATCTCACCCACTGTGTGTTCCCAGCAGATGTCACTCATGTTTGCGCTGATCTTTTTAACATGTAGTATGTCTCATGGGTTACTAACTTACTATCAATCGAACACATCTTCCTACGTCTCACAAGCTACTTGGTCACACACTATCTGTACCTAAGCTTTCTTCCAAGTTTTATCTAGTGTTTGTTTCCTTCATAGGAGAATTGAAGATTCTCAAATAATACAATAAATACATGATATAAATGGAAGGCTTTCATTTTTCATCTTATTACTCTACTCATCTACACACGTGCCCCAACACTTAAAAGACTAATAATACAAAAATGAAAATGAAAAGCTTCTGTGCCTGTATCTATGTATCGTTATAAAAAATTATCTTTTTTAAATTGTTTTACATCTAAGTATTAACCTATTTTTAACATTTTATTGCATGGTGTGTTTGTGTTCTAAACATTTTGCAGCTACAGGTTTCATTGTATAAATCACCAACTGGATCATTAGAGGGGAAAACAGCAGCTACGGCCTCAGCCTGTGAGGCCAGAGAAATGTGGGTTTAAATCCTGGCTGTGACGGAGGCAAGTTATTGAAACTCCACATCCGGTTTTCCATTTGTAAAATGAAAATAGTAAGCATACTACTTCCTGGAGTCATTGTCGCAAGGAAATTAAATAATGCACGTAAATAAATAAATAAAGCATGTAAAATTCTTAGCACATCACCTGGAAAATTGTAACTTACGTACTATTGTCCTCATTATGTTCAGGGTGAGGCCATGACTTCTGTGTATTTCATGTCTCCACAAAGGGCCCTGTATGTGGGTCATTACTAAAATTTTGAGATAGACTGTGTTATGGTCTATTATTTTACTTCTAAGAAACACAGGTGATAGCATCCATTCTGATTCACCCACGCAGGTTTCAACTCGCTCAGAATATCGGTGTTACTGAGAGGGCTTCGATTTTATATTTTTTGATTTTTGTATATCTCAAAACTTTCACAATGACCCATGTATTCAACAGACTTTCAGTAAAATCTTAGTGAATGAAATCAGCTATAGCTACTGTAGAGAAAAAAAGCAAGGCGGGGGGAGCCTAAATAAAACTAGTCAAAATGTTTAAAGGAATACAGTTAAGGAAAATAGCTCCAGCTAATATGAATCAGCCACTAAGACTTGCAAAATACCCAAGGATTTCCCAACAATTAGTCCCTTATGAAAAGTTTTTGTTCCTTAGGAAGATTTTATTACTTTGATTTTGGTCCCAGGTCTTGGCAACATTCTTCTGGCATTCCCTGAGGCTTTCGGGCAGGCAAGTCGAAGCAAAGCCCTAGGATTTTTGTTCTTTCCCCAAAGGAAATCCGGCAGTAGTCTCTTGCTATCAATTATTCAGAGATTTTTAAAGAAGAGATTGTTTAAGGAATAATTCTTGACTTTGTAAACAACCCTCAAACAATGGAAGTCTGGCTGGTGTCAGAAACCAGTAAAGAAAGGAATTGTCCCTAGGACTCGGAGAATTTGAGGGCCCAATGGGTCAAACTTTGCCTTTCAGAAGGACCAATCTTTAATACCTAGGAGAGATGGTTGTCTCTCTAAATCCAGATGTTAACAAGTCCACTAAAAACCACATGGGACTTGAATTCAGGGGATGTAAATTCTGGTCCTAATTTGGGCACCTAAGGGGTGTGAGCATTTTCAATGACCCGCTGTACATTCATTCACTCACCAATTACTCTGCAAATTGAACTTGCCAGTATCCATAATCACATGTCTCAGTTCCTTATACTCTCTTTCCATCTGTATTTCTTTCTCTTACATCTCCTATTTATTCTGATTCTCTGGAGATCTCTGACTAATACAGTGCCTTTATGATAATTAAAAGATATTCCCAGGCCAATGCAAGCCCCTACTACAAGAAGAAGGGAAATTCCTACTGTCCTTGGACTTACAGCAGCCATGCACACCTGTCTCAATCCCAAGTCATTGAATAAAGACCTTTTATCTTCATTACTCTTAACACAAGCAACAGCATTTAATGAGAGATATGTGAACCAAGGCTGGAAAGCACTGTCAATATATTTTGGTGCTACCAGTTCAAAGATGACTAGGAATCAACCATAACAGGTACTAATCCAAAATGCCAAAAGAAAATATGAAAAACTGAGAGAAATATTTGCAAATATATGACAGGTGAAAGTTAACGTCAGTGAGAAAAAGATGACAATACAATGCTTAAATGGGCCATGGACAAGAGCAGACAGCTCTGTAAATGAAAAATAAAAGTGATAACGCTACTTTGTAGCACTAGTCTGCCCATAAAAATGGGCAAAGATCAACCAACTTGTGCATGGGAATAGGGTGATAGGCATCTCATGGACTATTTGTGGGAGTGCAAATTGGGTTAATATTTCTGCAGGGCCATTTGAAAATAAATCTTAAGAGCTTTCAAAAATGTTTATATCCTTTATCTCAACATATGTATGTTAAGATACATACATATGAGGTGTAGGCATTTAGCCCAAGAAAATATAAAGACACAAAAATATTTTTTAATATACAAGAATGTTCACCAGAATGCTATTTCTAATGGTATAAAATTGGAAATAACCTAAATGCCCAGCAATAGGGAATGATTAAACAAATTATAGTTTATTAACATAATGAAATAGGGTGCAACCATTTCTTCAAATATTTTTCTGCCTCCTCCAACCCCATTAAGTGACTCCAATTAAATATATATTATAGACCACTTGAGTTATACCATAGCTCACTGATATGCTGTTTTTCTCTGTGTTTCCTGAAGGCATTAATGCTCTGACATTGCCAACCTGCCTGGCACACAGGAAAAGCAGGCCTTGGCAGCCACAGCAAGTCCTTAGGCAAAGAAACACAGTGTAGGCGGCTGAAAGTGGGGTAGGCACGACTGGAGAGGGTGAAGGGACACAGGCTGAGCACCATCAGCCACTCTCATCTCCGCCCTGCCCTTCCCCAGTTCCAGCCTTCTGCACTAGCTCTATAGTCAAATGAGATTTCAAGTGCATCTCTGCACCAAGGTAATGAATCAGACCCTAAAGAGCCTGATTAGAAGATATTCCCAGGCCAGTGCAGGCCCCTACTACAAGAGGGAGGGAAAGGACAAGAAGGAATGCATCCAGAAACCAGGAAGAAAAGGAAAGAGAAGACACATTCCTGGGGGAAGCCATGCAGTGGGGAAGGCTGTATAAAGAAGCCTAACTATCTTCCACTGCTGCACTGGTGAGACGCCTGAGGGCTTCTTCATCGTCATCATTGTCCTCCTGAGTTGATCCATGAACCCGGCAGGTTACACCTCAAACTGAGCAGGCAAAGACAGCAAGGAGGAACCAAGTGGATCTGCAATCTAGGGTGAGAATGGCTAAAAGCCTGAACCAGCTGGATGACGGATAAAGAAAAGGGTCCCAGGCAGGCTGCTGTCAGTTCAGCAAACTGGTTGTCCAGACAAAGCAAAGTATTTCAAACACCAGCTCTGTGCCAGGTCCTGGGAGCTGAGGCTGCTTAGGTGCTTTCCACTGAAGCCTGGATTTGTCTGAGAATGAAGTAAAGGGCTGGCATAAAGTGGGAAAATCAGAGAGCCACGGCTGGTCCACAAGCCATGAGACAGCTGGGTATGGCAGGATGAAGGTGGGCTGCTGGTGTCCTTGTAACCAAGCGTTCAGAGTACGGTGTCAGTACCT